GACAACATTTCATTTCACCACCCTGAAAATGCCAACAAATGGAAGTATGTTTGCTTGAAGAGAATAGCCTTGGAAAGAGAACTAAACAATGGTGCCATGGATTGCAAGGAAATCATGGACCTGATCAAAGCTGCTGGACTAATGAAGATTGTGGTAAAATTTACCAAATGCTATGAAAATCTGGTCAAGGAATTCATAGTGAATTTGTCTGATGAATGTGCTGATGGAAGGTCAGCTGACTTTGAATGTGTCTATGTGAGAGGAAGAAGGGTTAATTTCTCTCCATCTGAAATTAACAAATTTCTTGGAAGATCAAATGAGGCTTGGCCTGAACTAGAAGTCACTGACAATGAAGTTTGCCAAACAATCACAGCAAAACAAGTCAAGTGCTGGCCCTTAAAAGGCAAGCTGAATGCCAGCAAACTAAGCATGAAATTTGCCATCCTGCACAAGATTGGTGCAGCCAACTGGGTCCCTACCAACCATAAATCAACCATCTCCACAGGATTGGGGAGATTCATTTATGCTGTTGAAACCAAGACTGAATTTGACTATGGCAGGTATATTTTTGATCAAACTTTAAAACATGCTGGTAGCTATGCTGTTAAAGGCCCAATTGCCTTTCCCTCCCTCCTATGTGGAATCATCCTTGCTCAGTACCCTGATATCCTGATGGAAAGAGACACTGCTTGCAAAAGAGCTCCTGCTCTTGGGTTACACTACAAGCTATTTCAGGGATCTCATGTTCCTGACATTGTCATAACATCAGCTGAGACATCATCTGTAAAAACTCAGTCCAAGACATCTGATGTTATAGCTGTATTGAAAGAGACCTGCAAAGAGCTGGAGACAAGGAAAAAGACTCTAGAAAACCTAATTGCCAAATTAGAACAGGAGGAGACTGAAGGAAACAGAAGGGAAGAGGGTGCTGCTGAAGATCAGCTCAATGCTGAAGAAAGTAGCTCCTCTGAAGATGACAGTGCTTAAAGTTTGGTGGAGTTGACAAGCCTGATGCTGGTTCCTGTTGATGCAAGTGATTTCAGTTTTTCTTGTTGTTTTTATTACTCATTTTGGATAACTGTATAACATATAAGTTCATGTATCTTTGGCCCATTTGTGGCTAAAGAGGGGGAGATATTTTGTGTTAATTACTTGGTAGACATTATATTTTTCTGCAGACATATTCTTTATGCTGCTCTATATTCTCTGATTGCTTAGGGGTTTTAGCCAAAAATCTGCCAAAGGGGGAGTTTGTAAGTGTTTAGTTATTGGCATGTATTTTTGGTAAAACCAGGTGTGTAAATGTCATGACTGATGTCATAATATTCTGGATTATTAGGTACTTTATGTAGAAAAAGTATGGCATACAATAGCTACTGTTTATGAGTGTGTATCTGAGCATTTTGCAATGATCACATTTATTGCCTTCTACCAAAATCAGTAAACAGGAATTCTGATGTCATAACAAATGTTAAGACATCCTGTACTGATCTAACAGATATGCAGTTTGGTTAATTCTGAGATTTTTCAGGAAAATGGCTCATTCCTTCCAGAACAGAATCTCACGTGGACTTTGGGTTAACCTAGCTCAACCCTAATCTGGTTGATAAAGTCTTGTGACCAAGTCTTAAGGTTAAACCTAATTAACCCTAGCTTTTTGTGGAAACCCTAACTGAAGAAACAATTGCATATATATTCAACAGGAATGCTGGTTGCAGGGTAACTTTTTGACTGAAGATCAATTAGGAGCTGTATAGTTTTAACTTCTGTAATCCAAGCAAGTATCATTGTGATAAGTGACTTGGAATAGGTTTTGATTGTAAGGGTTTTTGTATCACTCAAAGCTTTGAAGCAAGAGTGTTTTGTGTCTCTTGACTAAAGCTTTGAAGCAAAGTCAAGTTAGGTTTATGTATCACTCAAAGCTGTGAAGCACGAGTGTTTGTATTACTTGATTAAAAAGCTGTGAAGCATAATCAAGTGTATGTCCTGAAGAGTGTCTTCATTATTTCATTAGTCAATTGTTTTAAGTATCACTGTTGTGATTGAGGGGGAGTGAGTAGGAACTCAGGTTTAAGTTGAACTTATATTGAAGTTGCATTGGGTAGGTCTTAAGTGAAGGAGATAAACTGGTTGGTTTATTCCTGAATTAATATCTCTTATAGTGGATTTCCTCCCTGGCTTGGTAGCCCCCAGAGTAGGTGTTGTTTCACACTGAACTGGGTAAACAATTGACTGTGTTCTTTACTGTTTTTATTTACTGTCTTATAGAAAGTCAGATACGGTGTCATAACATTCACTGTGACATTGAGTATCTGCTTCCAGAATTTCACTCCTCGTACATAGACTCCAAACCCGCTGCGGTAACCGGCCTCACAATATACCACTTATCCTTGAAACCCCGTACGGAATCCATGTACATCCTGAAAAGTCTCTTCGACTGTTTCAGGGAAACCCAGCTATGCTTACCTCCCCGGGATTGGCGCTGTAGGTGGAAGACTCTGAAGAAGAGGGGTATGGTCGCCCCAATCCTTAGAAACCGACAAGTTAGCTCGAACGCCCGGATGAAAGCGAGCGAATTTGGGTGAAGCTGCGACGGGGCCAGCCCCAGATGGCCGAAGACCCCGACCTGAAAATCACTGAAAGGCAGCTGCAACCCAAGGTCCTTGAAGGCAATTTCGTACATAGGGAATCCATACTCGGGGAACTCCGAGCAGATTCGTGCAGTGAAAGTTGGTCGAGTGACGACGAAGTTCTTCTGGAAATCAGACTGGCTACTGCCCGCCTCGAGAATGGTGTACGTCCTTCGACTACGTCGACTATAGGCCGAAGCTATCCCTCTGGGCTCGGCACCCACCCAGTCCAGCAGAGGGTCCTCTATGGTGTCAACCAAATTCACATTTTCATCAGCACTTTGTTCTCCCACCTCGGGGCACCCTGAAGAACACGGTTCGTCCGCCATGGTTACCTACAAAGCACGGGAAACCAATCAATTGGGAGCGAAACCACACGCTCGCCGTAACGAACGAGATGAAGGGCACGACAAACCACGTCGCTCCATGCGCGACCACAAAGTGGTGTTTCGAAACAAAAAAGAGCAGTCACCTCCCCGACTCCCAGTCACCACGACAATCTACAGAGCGCCTGAATAGGCCAACATCTCGACCACTCACAAAACGTGTCGACCCAGGTTACGAACGTGGCGAGCAGCGTCATGGGTCTCAAAACTAGAGCCATGAGTTCACCAGGCACCACCAAGAATTAGGCGCCCTGAGACATGAAGTCCCCAGGCAGCACTGCGATTCAAATACCTAAACTATGCGTTTACCGGGCGCGTACATGCGTTCGCCGGGCATAAACATGGATTTGTCGCGCTAAGCATAAATCTACCGGGCTAATCCCAGGCTTACAGTCTCTAAAACATCTGAAAACAATGAAAATCATGCATCACAGAGGAAAAATGAAGGAAATAAGGCACTTACTTGGAATCAGGAAGGTAATGTGACGACGGAGAAAGGAAATCAGCGACGGAGATCACGGCGGTCCTATGAGTATCTGGGAAGAACAGCAACAACATGAGCAGAGTGCAGAGGAGAAGCGCGAATAGGGAAAACACGTTCTGGGGCCCAAAACAACCTATTTATAGTGATGATGTGGAATACCAAACGTCACCTCGGGGAACCATAGAACTTCCCTCCTCGACATGTAGCTCCTCTAGGCAATGATGACCCTATCGTCAGTAGGGTGGCGGCACAATTCCTAAGAGATACCTCATATGCCCAACGAACGCGCCCCGTCGAGACTCCCCGAGCGCTTCTCGCGCGACATCATCTCGTGTGCCCGACACGGGGAAAACTCCTCGAGCAAGCCGCGAGAACGGCATGTTCTGGCCGGGAACGAGACCCCGAGACGCAGGCGACCTAAGATCAAGTCACGGCTCCTACTACAGGAACCACGACTTGGGGGGCTCCTGTTCTGGACTGGGCCCGGCTGGCCCAAAAGCAATGGTAAAGGCCCAGTCCAAACGGTCTTGCGAAGGGTCACGCCGACCAAGAAGTACATCCTTGCCCGACATCTCTTGCTAGTATGCTGTCCTCGACTCCACACTAACCTGCTCGACCTCAGCTCGAGCACTCCTCCTAGACAGACTCTATCCACTACGCCATCACCTGGATCCCGAAAAGACCGCGTCCTCGTCCGTCCGTACTTCACGCAGAACATCTAGGAAGGGGACTACGTGCGGGTCCCCACTACGCACGTAGAACCTGGCAGTTCCTCCATTGGGCCAAACCTGCCCGGCCCAATGAAAGAACCTTGGCCCAGCGCTGGGGGCTATAAATACCCTCTGTTCCCAGAGGGTCAGGTATTCATTCTTTTACCCACACTCATATTATTGCCTGCTCGTGCTCTTACTTACTTCAGCATCGGAGTGCCTTGCAGGTACCCCCCACCTCGTTCAAAACTTCAGCTCGGAGCCAGCCGTGACGGTCCAAATCTGATCAGGTTAGATCAGTATCCATGTTGACGTATTAGGAATATAAAATTCCACGTAAACAACTTAAATATGTGACACACAAACTTTAGTTAGTAGAATCTAATGAAAGAGATCAATTTTAAGGACGGAAAAATTTACAAAAACCATTATTTAAAAAAAAATTTTAGAGAAACTAAAATTGAAAATTATCATATTTATAAAAATTAAAAACATATTTAACCCTTTTTATAATAAATATCTATACTCTCAAAAAGACTTTTTATTACAAATTTAAATTTAATTAATTAAATGATAAATTGCCTAAGGGAGAATCCAGGCCGTGGAAAATGGAAGTCCACGATAACAAATGTAGATTGTTGCACCGAAGCGCTCTCTCTCTCTCTCTCTCTCACTCTCCATGTGTCGTAAACCCTGAAACGAGGCTTAAGCTTCCCCTTCTTCCTCAAATCTACCGAGTTCACCCGGCGGCGACACCTGAGTCATAACTCGCTCCTTCTCAGATTAAGCCATGCAAGCGGTATCAAATGCTCGCCGAGTCTCTCGGCTCTTGCAATCTCCAATTTTCCGTTCATTTCATCTTCGAACCACCGAACAACCGTTTCTCTCAGGGCTCGTACAACGCAATTTCAGTTCCGGAGTTGATAACGTTGAAGGGACTCCAACAGGTTACTCATTCGTTTCTTAACTGTAAATTCCTTTTTCGAATTTCAATTTCGTGATGTTCATTGATTTGTATTGTTGAATTTTTGAATGTAGAAGCTGTGAAGGATCTTTATGATAAAATGCTTCAGTCTGTGAATGTTAAACGATCCATGCCTCCAAATGCTTGGCTATGGTCAATGATTGCGAATTGTAAACACCAGCACGATATTAGTCTTCTCTTTGACGTTTTGCAGAACCTCCGCAGATTCGTTAGTTTCTATTCTTCTGCAGAATATATATCTATATATTGATTCAGTTTCTTTGCTATGGTGTTGAGTTTAATTATTGTTGTGTGCAGAGGTTGTCGAATCTTCGCATACACGACGATTTCAATTGTAGTCTCTGCCGGGAAGTTACTAAAGCATGTGTTCATGCTGGAGCCATTGATTTTGGTATGCTTTATTTGTGTTTGCATTTTGTTATTTTTAATCGGTGAAAAATAAATAGACTTGGGTGGTTTGGGCATTTAGAGAGAAGATCTATAGATTCTATAATAAGGATAGTACATCAGATGGAGAGAAGTCAAACAACTAGAGAGAGAGGAAAACCTAGAAATACTATAAGAGTAGTTATTGAGAAAGCTTTTGAGATTAAGGATTTGAATAGAAGAATCATCCTGGATAGAACATAATGGCAGAAGTTGATCCATGTAGTTGACTCCAATTAGTGGAATAAAGCTTGGTTGTTGTTGTTGCTGTTTCATTTGTGAAATTTGAAGATATGAAATGGCATTTTAAGGTTATTTGGTTTTAATGTGTGAGCAGGGAAGAAGGCTTTGTGGAAGCATAATGTCTATGGATTGGCACCTAGTGTTGCATCGGCACACCATATATTGGTATTGTTTGGCATACTAATGTTCTAATTTCTTTGATTTTGTCTCCTGTTTGCAATCGGTAAGTTACTGTTAATTTATTGCAGACGTATGCTAAGAATCACAATGATACTAATCTATTGGTGGAAGTAATGAAACTTTTGAAGAGGAATGATTTACCATTGCAACCGGGCACGGCAGATATAGTTTTCAGGTATGTTAATATTTTTGCACTTTCATTATTTGGTTTTGCAGTACAAAGAGTCTTCTGTAAATAAAATTTGAATATGGTGTTTACCTCTAATTAAAGCAGCTGCTGAACTTTTTGTTGATTTAACTGTTGTTCCTTTTGTCACTGTCTGGCATGCACTCATTTTGAAATGATGCTTTCTTGTTAGTCCCCCCGAAGCTCTATTTGATTGTATGTAGGCAATTTGTTGCCTCTTTGTGCGTTAGGCTACAAGTCTACAATGCAGTTAGTTTGCTTGTTTTTCTTAGCTTGCAAAATGCTTAGATGCATTGTAATATAACATGTATCTGGTACCCAAAGGCCCACTCTTTGAATCTGAAAGTTATGCAAATCAGGATTAAAAAGAATGAAGAATCTAGCCTTTTTTTGATGCATCTAAAGGTTTATTTTAGTATTGTCTAACACTAAACAAATTATGAATCTCACGTTTTCTTGTTACCTGGGTATGTTTTTTTTTGCTGCTTTTGTTCTCTTTAGTATGTTTTTCTGACCTGTTACCTGGGTCAATCATTTGCAGCATTTGTTATAATACAGATGAATGGGAGTTGATTAATAAGTACGCAAAAAGGTTTGTCAAGGCTGGTGTAAAACTACGACAAACCTCATTTGAAACATGGATGAGATTTGCTGCGAAAAGAGGTGCTTATACTTGATGTGTTTTGTCTGCCTAATTCTATAAGCTTCTATTGAACTTCAACAGAAGTTTGTTAAAGGGGATTTCCATTCCTAAATTGAACACTAAACTATCCATAAAACAATGGAGATGATAATTTGCCTAGTATTTACTGACTTGTGGTTTTTCTTTCTCTCCGAACTTGCATCTTCCCAAATGTTGGCAAGCTGTGTTTTCTCAGCTTTTAGGAAATTGAAAGAAACCCAAAAGGGAGACTATAATCACATACTCAACGTTTTGAATATAATTTCACATAAAACAATAAAACCAGATTTGTGAATTTGGTTATAATGTTGATCATTTTGCACTCTTTCATTTTGGACTGAAGAATCATGCTAAGAAAAGATTACTTTGCGACTAACGTGCCTTGACTTGCTCTGTCTGTATCATTTTTGAAATAAGTTAGTTCAACTCTATTAATAACCTCTTGACAAATTTGATGGCAATGAATACATATAGTACATTAGCCGTATCATGTGATTTCAGGACTATTGCAATTAATGATTTTTTGATCTTTTAAAAATATTTTCTGCGTATGATGAACTATGCTTATGCCTTTCATTTTCATATTTGTAGGAGACACTGAGTCATTATGGAAAATAGAAAAGTTGAGATCTGATTCAATGAAGCAGCACACTTTGGCAACTGGGTTTTCTTGCGCCAAGGTAGTAAATCCATTCATATGTGTGCGTGTGTGTAGCTTATTGTATGATATCTTTCAGTTTTGCTTAATATTATACATAATATTTTGCTTTTAAGACATGTTTGTATTCATCAATCTGATTTTTGAAAAGAGACCAATTGTTTTTTCGAAAGAAAAATAAAAGAAAAACCTTATTAATTTCCCCAATTTGAGAATCCTTACCTAATATGATTTTGTATCACATATGTTCTCAATGCTGATATGTGTTTCGACTTCCCAGTGCTTGATTGTGTTATAGCCGAGTTCCACTTTGATAACAAGTCTAAGCCTGTTTTTATGATTTTGCAGGGCCTTCTATTGGAACGTAAACCTAGTGATGCCGTTGCCATCATTCAAGTTCTAAATCAGGTATGGAGTGTATGCTGTTTACTCCTTCCTATGTGATAAATTTCTTCACCAATGAGCGAAACAAAAAGTGCTTCTCAGATAGAAATCAAACAGCGCTAGATGAAATTGTAATGTTATTACCCTGGAAAGATTGGTCAAAGTACAAATCAGTTTATATAAGAATAATTTTGGAGTTGTGGCAAAAGTTATAGCTTTTTGTATTGATACTTCAGTTCAGAGTCAAATTAGTTCCACATCAATTGCTGAGGGTGAAACTATAGTTATATCATTAATTGCATCTGTTAGAGCACTTTTTGGTGATAATGGTATGATATGAATAAGTGTTAGTAAACTGAGTGGAAGGTCATATATGTCTTTGGATAGTCTTGTTTTTTAACTCTTCGTTTTATTGATTTCATTGTCGCTAGACTTTGTCTGAAGCCAAAAAGTCAGGCATGAAGGATGAACTTCAGAAACTTGTATCTGAGTGGCCTTTGGAAGTACTTAAGCACAAAAAAGAAGAGGAAAGAAAGGTACACTGTCTTAGTTGCAAAGAACTTTCCGTGTTCTTATTTTAGTTCTATCGCATCTCTCTAAAGGCATTAACATGTTTTTTTCTGTTTTACTGACAGGCATTAGCAGCCTCTTTGAAATCTGATATCCTTGACATTGTTAATAATTTGGACACGGGACTTGAGGCTAACATAAGTTTGGAAGACTTAAACCGAAGAGAAAGCATTCCACAATAGCATGGGTTCAAGACTTGATGACTTGAGGTTTTAGAATATGCTTGTTTGAGGAGTGTCTCTTTATCAAGATGCTACATATCCTTAGTTAGATACAGAGTCTCTGATCATAGCAAATGTTGATTAGTATGATTACTAGATGGAATATGCTTATTACTTTTTTTGCTTCTATTCTTCTCCCCAAGTGCTCAAGGTTTTGGTAGCATATTGGTGGCATTTAGCATGTTTTTCAAGAACTGAAATCTAGATGTCAGTATGTGTGAACACAAATAATGTGGCATGTGCTTCTAGCCTTCTATTATAAGGGGCAAGCAATTCATTTCCACCAATACAAGTGAGGATTCAATCTTGTCCTTGTACCCTCGTTGTTTTTATGTAACACTCACCTAAATTGTTATTAATTTATTTTCATGAACTTCACAATTTAAGTTGGGACTTAATTCATATATATTGCCGGCGGCATATATAATTTTTACATTGAGTCATTGTTAAATCTCAAGAGATGATTGACTTTTATTATATTGCATGATAACTAAATTCTATAACTTGTAAAATAGTAGTAAACTTTTAGAGTTTATCTTTATTTAATATTTGCATAATCGTTTTTGATAAATAAACTATCATATGATAAACACTTAATGAAAAGCTGTTACACGGATTTGACTACATTACATTTTCGCACCCTAGGGATACCCCCATTGAATAGGAGAATATCAAGCTTTATAATTTTGTGATTTTACATGTAATGTTTAAATATAAATATTAATTAATGGACATGCAGCCGTCGGTGTAAAATTTTTTTTACACGAAATCACTAATCTATTAAATTATTCAAATATTTTTACTTGATCGTCCAAGTAAGATTTAATGGAAGGCAAGTTATTCGTTGGATGATCAAATATTTTTACTTGATCGTCAAGTAAGATTTAATGGAAGGCAAGTTATTCGTTGGATGATGTGTAAAGTCAAATGTTTTATTTGAGCTCTAAACGGTTTTAAAAAAATAAATTAGATGCGTTGATTTTAATGATAAAATTAGTATAATTTATTAAAACACTCTTATTTATTATAGTTAGTAGAGTAATTGAAAATATGAAGAAAAAAAATAGGAGTATAATAGTGGAAAAAAATAATAAATATTGTAATAGTATTTTAAAGAGACATTTATTTTGAAATAGAAAATATTTTGGACTGGGTCTGTCTTTGGCCCAACTCCATGTGAGGCCCAACCCAATTATGTCGGTCAAGGTATACTGGCCAGTTCTGCCCTTGACTGCGTCGGGCAACAACTTCCACTCTCCACAAGGAGACAACGTCATCGCACGAGGGTAAAGCCAGTTAGTCTTAGGAAGATCATCGCCGGTCAGAAGGACCCTGAAGCCATCTTTTGATCCTCTCCGTGACCAAAACTGATCCCCTCATACGACCTCGCGTCTGGCGGGGAGCATCCACGACGAGCAGAAGCACCTCACGAGCATCCTCCTCGTAGGGTTGACTATCAACGTCTCCGAATATCACAGAGTTTTCGTGGCCTCAGAAAGACCGCATCCATATCCTCCGATCTTGCAGAGGAAGTCATCCAGGTGGGGGACCACGTGCTGGTCCCCACTACTCACGTAGGACCTAACAGTCTCTATTTTGGGCCAGCTTGACCAGTCCAATGAGGGACCTTGGTCCAGCGTTGGGGGCTATAAATACCTTCTCTCGAGAGGGTCAGGATTGAACATTTCTCACTCTCTTACTTGCTCGCACCATTTCGTATCTCATTTTGGCATCAGAGTGTCTTGTAGGTATCCCCCATCCCCACTCTCAAGTACTGCTCGAAGTAAGCTGTGACGGTCCCTTCTGGCCAGGTAGGATCAGTGGCTCCATCTGTGGGAATGCAGCTTCCCCGTCTTTCATTCATCCAAGACAAAATCTAATCCAACTCCTTTTTGACTGTCATGGCTGATCTCACAGGAGAAAACAACCTGAATGTCTATCCCGTCGACGTCAACAACAACGTCGCCGACCACAACGTCGACATCAACAACAACGTCGCCGACATCAACAATGCTGGTCTCGTTAGCCTTAACACCGATAATAATAACAACGCCGACAACAACAACATCGGCCACGCCGTGGACATACCCGGTCCCTCAGAATATAGAGACAGACTAATTGACTCATTGTAACACCCTATTTTCCCATATGAATATTTATAATGAAATATACAACAAATGCATCAGAGTTCACAATGGAATGCCACATAAATCATAAAATCCATAAAGTTCTCAAAATACTTTATTACTTCGTGTATCCAAAAATGGTTATTCGGCAACGGAAAATCAACATAAAAATAGTTCATTGGCATTCTAGCCTTAACAACAATCCAAATCCACAATACGTGGTCCATCATAAGTTTAAAAGAAAATGTGCAACATTCAAAATCATGCAAAACATAATGAAAATTCCAAATCCCGTGTTACATATCAGAGCGACTCCTAAGACTCAATCTGGTAACGTCACTTCAAGCACTACTCGGATACCTGATTATCTATACTCCCGAATAGTACAAACACAACAACACAAAAGGGGTGAGAATTTCATTCAATAATTACACGGTAAAATAAAACATGCTAAGGAGTAGTAATTACAACATACAAAAAATTCATCACAAACAACCATCATCACATCATACAACATCAATTCAGTATTTATGCAATGCAATAGGCCTACATCAACATGCATGTGGTACCTTCAAAGCATAAGCCTTCAACTCAATGCCAATTGAGAAATAACAGAGCATAAGCCGTCAACACAATGCCAATCCAGGACAACATCAAGGCATAAGCCCTCATCCATGAATACATGCAATGTGAACATGCAACAACGTGAAATCATACAACCACCAGGAATAAGCCTTAATCACCATGGAAATTTAAACCATCTGCATCATCCTCATCATAATCACTAACATTGCCTCATACCGACATCATCAGCAAAAGAACATTGCAAGAAAATAATCCACTATTTCGCTGTAACAACGGGAAATAACTCCTATTTTAACTTAGTTACTAGAATTATCCTTCTAAATCATTATTTTATTCTACCTACTTCAAGTTTATGGTCTTAGCTATCCAACTCTTTGAACGACGCATCAAACAGAGTTACGGTTCAAAAGTTATGGCCGTTACGAAAATTGTCAAAAATTAGGCTTCCCTCGGGTTAGGTTGCGTCGACCCTTGCGTCGACCTCTCTTGGATTTTGCATCGACCACCCCTGCTGTTTTTGTTTTCCGCTCACTGCTGTTCTCGTTTGCATCGACCGCTTCCCTGTTTGCGTCGACGCAAACTGTTAAATTCTGAGTTTTTCTGTGATTTTTCTACGATTTCACTAAATTTTAGGTACTAAAACATCATCTAACCATAGGAATTCATCATCCATTATCATCCTATGTTTCTACATTAATTATACATCATTTGGGCATTATTATTCATCTTATATTTCATCAAATCCTCATCCAAAATCCTTAAATCCTAATTCTCATTACTTATAGGTTCTAGATTGGGGTTTAATGCAACAATCATCATAACAATGCAATCACAACAACAATCATAACATAGCATCACCGATCCATGTATAATCATATACAACACATTAATTCAATCACAACATCCTCTTCTCGTTCTACAAATTCCTCTTTGCCTCCATGTCTCCTTGTGCCCTAGCTTCTCCTTTGCTCTTCTCCCAATTTCTCGATCGTACCAAATGATCGTACAATTCTCTTTTCCCTTAGTTATCACAAGGACCCCTAATATCTTCCTCAATTTCCCTCACTTAGCATTATAATATTTACCATCATGCCCTCACTCTTTCTACTAATTACCATGTTGTCCTTATTTTCTCTACACTTCTATTATTCTAATTACTTAAATCCAAATAATTCCAATTAATCACTATTAAATCTAAATAATTCAAAAATAATCATTTAAATTTCAAACCTTCTTACTAACTCATCCTATACCACACAACTCAACATCTTAAACACCTTATTCATCAAATCATCGCTATTTACATCGCAATTGCATCACGAATATACATCATAAAATATATCGACACAAGTAAACGCATCATCTCATATAATTATTTTAAATAAAATAATCCTAATTAAATCGGGGCGTTATAACTCTCCCCACTTAAAAGAATTTTTGTCCTCGAAAATTACCTGACAGAAACAACATTAGATAAGACTATCTCATCTGATCCTCGCGTTCCCAATTCCAACTCTCACCATCCGGTCTACCCCACAACACCTTCACTAAGGAAATATATTTTCCTCATAATTACTTCACTTCTTGACCTTCTATTCGCATTGGAAACATATCAATAGTAAGGTTATCTCTCACCTGTACATCATCCATCTAAATCACATGCGAAGAATCTGGCATATGCTTCCTCAATTGAGACACATGAAACACATCATGCAAATTCGCAAGTGATGGTGGCTAAGTAACTCCATAAGCCACCTAAGCTACCTTGTCTGATATATGATATGGTCCAACAAATTGTGGTGTAAGTTTCCTCGATTTCAACGCTCTACCGACATCGGTTACTGGAGTAACTCTCAAAAACACATGATCATCTTTATTGAACTTAATGTCCTTTCCCCTCTTATCATGGTAACTCTTCTGACGACTTTAAGAAGAATTCATCTTCTTTTGGATCATATTTATCTTCTTAGTTGTTTCTTGCACAACCTCAGGTCCGAGCACAACACTCTCGTCTAACTCATACCAACACAATAGAGTTCTACACCTCTTACCATACAAGGCTTCATACGGTGCCATCCCAATACTAGAATGGAAACTATTATTATAGGTAAACTCAATCAACGACAAATGGCTATCCCAAGCACCTCCTTGTTCCAACACACAAGCCCTCAATAAATCTTCCAAAGGTTGGATAGTCCTCTCCATCTGACCGTTCGTCTGCGGATGATATGCAGAACACAACCTCAACTT